TTGTTACAACGGTGTGGCTGACATCTGCCAAGCCCTCTGCCCTCCACCCCTTCTTCCATTAAAAATTATCCGAACCAATTTTTTTTAAAGGTGCCCAATACCTATATAGATATACACACACTCTATAGGTATGATATAGGTGTACGTACGTGTGTATACATCTGTGCACAGTCTATATCCTACACAGAGATGCAGAAGCACTCGCTCTTATCTTCCCATGAATCATTAACAGCATCACAAAAGGCAGTGACGAGATCTCCAGGAGCTCATTACCAAGGGCGGACCGTACACACTTTTATTGAAATACGACAATTTACACAAGAGCTAAAAGTTTGCTCCCCCCCCCCCCCGGGAAACTAACCTGTGTGCCTGGATATCAGAATTAGCACCTAGTGTTCACAAAAAAGGCTCTGCAGCATTACTTACTGCAAACACGGGTCAGATCCTAAGCAATGCGGGCGCAGGGACACGGGGATAGGTTAAATAATCTAATTTCTTGTGAGCATCGCATTAGCTTGTGGCCTCACCGCAGCAGCGGAGTGTCAGGTACCTGGTTATCTCTGCAGGACTAGGAATGCATAGTTCATAGGGCTGGATACATCTGACAAAAAGGGACAAGTCACAGTTGTGGTCAGAAGTTATCGCAGCGCAAACGTCCAAGAGCAGTGTTTCTGAAGCGGTGGAAGGTAGCAGAGGTAGGTCCTTTCCTCCTTGATGGTACGAATTTAACATTGCTCACGAGTCATTTGAGCTAAGTAGCTTTATGTTAGATATGTCAGGTACCCAACTCAGCCACGGCAGGCTGGATTAACTGGAAGATATTTTAAATTATATATAAAATGTTTCACTGGCATAAAAAAAAGTCATATTGCAAGAGGTTACTTTCTGGGGAATGAGCTATTCTTCTTACCTTCAAACACACTGATCTGCCCTTTCAGTGGCATAAATCCATATTTACCTTGCTGATTTAGCAAGGTAATTCCCTTTCCTACAGAGGGTTGGTAAGGATCAGAAGACTGATGTTTCATGAAAAGAAAGTGCACTTTCTGCTCAGAGCAATGGCTCACGCTTGTTCTAAAAAGCAGCCTCTAATTATATGAACTTATTGATCTACCAGGATTGTCAAAAAAGCAATCAAGACCTAGCCCACTGATGGAAATCAATAGGCTGTGCTGGAAAAGAAAGTGCAAGAGTTGCACCAAAAGGGGGTCTCCCCTTAACGCCTCTTTTTGTTCCATATTACGCAATTTTTGATAAAAATATTTCCTTTCTTTCTGAATCTTGGCTCAACATTATATGAACTTATTGATCTACCAGGATTGTCAAAAAAGCAATCAAGACCTAGCCCACTGATGGAAATCAATAGGCTGTGCTGGAAAAGAAAGTGCAAGAGTTGCACCAAAAGGGGGTCTCCCCTTAACGCCTCTTTTTGTTCCATATTACGCAATTTTTGATAAAAATATTTCCTTTCTTTCTGAATCTTGGCTCAACGTTCTCTTCGGAAAAGAAAGTGCAAGAGTTGCACCAAAACGGGGGTCTCCCCTCAACGCCCCTTTTTGTTCCATATTACGCAATTGTTGATAAAAATATTTCCTTTCGTTCTGAATCTTGGCTCAATGTTCTCTTCAAAAGCCGTAATATCAGCACCTATGTGCCCCACTGAAGGCTATCAGGTGTGCTGACAAAGCAGAGAATGTTTACATGAAGAAATGTCATATTTTAAATAGCACTTTTTTTTTTTTTACAGAGCAGATTACAAGATGAGTGTCAAGTTTTCAAATCATTACAACAGTATCCTCTCTGACTGTAATTAATCACTCACACCATCGAGCTTACCAAAACGTTAACAGTGTCCTTGCCTTTATACTGGAAAGTGATTTAACTGAAAGGTGCTAAAATAAACACTTTTATATCGTTCTCACTCATATACAAGATGCCATGCACAGTCGAGATATTAGATTTTAAATCTATTTACAATTTTACATATTTTACAATATATATTTCTTGTTTCCAGCTACAGAATTAATTCAGACTAACATTGGTACCTTTCAAGTTTCTGCTGGAACTTGAATTCCTGAAGTTAAACTAATTATTAAAAACAATTAAGTGCATGCCTAGAAGGAAGCTTTCAGGAAAGATGTCAATGGACTAGTGCTGCTTAAAAATTACACCGGTTTGTGTAGAAAATTTAAATTCAGTTCAAAAACCCACAAAAGCCTAATAGAAATCTACTTGACTAAAATAAATACAATTCATTACACTTAACAAAAAAAAAAAGTACCTTTAAAAATGTACTGATTTAAACTCATCTGATTTGTAAGCTTAAATTTGCTTTCCTTCCCAAGTAGCAGATAGTACCAGGTGAGGATAACGATGCTCCTTATCCTGCATAAACCTGAGGCTGCAGTGGTGGGGGCAGCTTGTCATTCTCCACATTTTCAGAGTCTATAGCTGCTAAGGCTTGATTTTTTGGTTTTATTTCTAATGGATATTTCTCAACAATATCTTGGACTTCCTTTGTAATTCCATCAGTCCAATCTATTAGGTCTTTCTCAAGCTTCTTGGCTTCATTGACAATTCTTTCCTGTCTCTCATTCAACTGCGACAGGAGGTCTAAGTTTTTATACATTTGCTTAACACCCAGGCACACATCAGGTGAAAAACTGTCAGATTCTTGCTTCTTCGGGGATGTCTGACCAGTCATAAAACGATCGAAATCTTCTTGGCTTAGATTTAAAGACTGAGCATCCAGTTTTTCAATGAAGGCCACAGCACAGCACTGCAAACAAAACAGAAAGTGAGCATCCCTGCAAGCCACAGACTGCAACTCAGGCATTCCATGTTTATTTATCCTGCTGTTAGACCAATAACTGATTATTTTATTTAATGCCTCAAACAGATTGCTCCTAAAGAGCTTTCCAGAAGCTAATTCTATCAGACAGTTCACATGCCTCTTTCCTCTCCCCAAAGTCTGAAGAAGTTGAGAAGTCGAAGGACAATCCAGGGAAACACCACTTCAGCTGAACAGTCCTGACTCACTGGATACCGAACATTACCTCGGGGTTACTGCAGCATTTTGGAGGGGAGAGAACAGACAGAACATGACAACTGAAAAAGAACACTGCATCAATATTTAATAATCTGATCAGCAGGATCTGCTATGGTCTCTCTTCGTTTGCTGAAGGAAGGAATCTCAAATGCCCATCTTACCTTGTGGATGCTCTCCTCCTCCTGAAAGGAATTTCTAACATTCCAAGTGTTTCATTCAACTACGTATTTTTGAGGATTGCTTTATGATGACACTCAGAGAAACCAAGTTCATAATCCTAATTCCTTCTAATACGAACAAGCACACAAAAAAATGCCTCCTGCAGGAGCTGTAAAACGCCCGTTTGTCTCTGCACGTTAATGGCCTCGTTCTGAAGTCCCTCCAAGGCTCAAATGGGGAACTTTGCATTTGTAACATCTGCGTAGTCCAAACTCGGGATTTTAGGACTAGAAAGCATTTATCTCCTTACAGAATGAAAATATACCAGGTCTTAGCATCAGACTGTTCAAATAAAGAGCTTAATCTTACAAAGAAAGCAAAGCACCGTCTGGTTTGGAAAGCAGAGAAGGGAGGAAATAAAAAGCAAAAGAGCTTGCTGTACTCTAAGTACCCTCAACCACTATCTAAGATTAGTTTTAATTCTCCTTCTGTGTTACTCTGTGTTTGCCTTTACTGGAATTCCTACATCCAAATAAAAGATGATCTTCTTGTATAAAATGTCAGCACTGTTCCTGCACTTACCAGATTGGTAAAATAGTAGCCGTCTTCTCCTGTCATTAACCTGCTTGGGTTACAGAATCGTGTTATGTACTGGATGTTAGACTGCAGGCGGGGTGGGTTTCCCTTCAAAACTATGTATATAAGTGTTGGGAGAAAGTCATCAGCAGAAGCTGGTTCATTTTTTGTGATTTTAATAGCATTAAATATATGCTTGCTGCACTTGGTGATGCATGCTAATTTATCACGAGGGACACGCTTTGAATCCATTTCGATAATATCTGTAAGAGAAAAAAATATCAAATCATTAAAACCATATTAATCAGACACCTGAATAAGTAGGACACTTACTGGACAATATTAAAATTGCACCATTTTTATCTGTGGGGCCTGCTGTACCATAGAATTATCTGTTTATTCATCCTTCTCTTGGTTCAGTCCAAGCATTTCAAATAGATCAGGTACGCCTAAACACTTCTGTGATAGAAAAATTATTGCCGCTTCACCGATGATATACTAGTCCAATACCACAAAGACTTCTGCAAATCTAAAAGCCCAGACACCCTTCTGATGACGGCAGAAAATAATCTCTATGAACAACAGATCTGAAATGTAAAGCTGGAAATGTAAACTTCATCATTCACAAACCTGTAATTGCTTTTACAACCATATCAGAGACTTCTGGAATTTCTTCATTGACAGGAACACACAGCATTTGTGGAGTTACCCAATGCAAAGCCCTAGGGCAAGAAAAAAAATGTTAAACCATTCTGTGCCAGTAGCATTCAGGTGTTTGAAACCAGCTGCTTCTTGAATTCAACGCACAAGGAGCGCTTTGTGTAAATGAGGCACTAGTCCAGTTATTAGCTACTTTATTCCACTGAAGTAATTTATTTCCAGAAAAAAAATGGTTTTTTGCTCTAATTTAACAAAAGCACACCAATTAGTTTCCCTAGCATAGTAGCTTTCATTATTCATTCTATTAATTCCTTCTGATTCTTAAATAAAGTGTTTTTAACTCTTCCTGGTTAAAAAGTTTGCCATTTTTGGATGTACAGCAAAAGATTTTTAACATCCTTGATTCAGAACTCATTCACAGGACTGTGGATTACTCCAATTATTTTTCTTTCAAAGACTTACCTGATTCTCTTTTGGACAGCAAGATCTTTCTTCTCATCATCGGTTGTTTCAGGGCAAAAGACATATTTATACTGTCGAGTCATGATGTATTTTTCAATCTGATCCATTGCTTTCTCAACTTTTTCAGGTGGCACTGAAAGGTAAACAAAGTATTCCATGGCTGTTTGGAAGTTTGAATAGAGTTTGGTCATAATATCACCAGATCAGTACTAGCGACTCGAGCCAAAGGACGGATATATTTGGAGTATTTTCACTCTGTACAGCAGAGGTAAAAATATAGTGGTGAGAACACCATAGTGACGTGCCAAAATACACACGTGGAGTCACAATGAAGCACATTCATTTAGCACATTTAACATACTAATTCGGTTCAGCTGTTTGCAGCTAACAATAATGTCTCTTGAAAATAGTGTCTTGGAAGACCTCGGTGGATTTATTCTCAAAGTCCTCTGTTCCTGTTTATGCATCTAAAAAAAAAATGTTTAAACTGTGCCACTTACATACCAGCCACAAAAAAGCAGCCCGCAACAGAAACACTCCTCTCTCCCCGCCTTCTTGTGCGTGGCAGTGTAACATAAGGCTCACAGCCTTTTTTTGAGGCTTTTTTCTTTTTTAAAACATTACCTTTTCATCAGGAAGATACAAGGAAGAGGAATATGATACCTTTCCAACGTGTCTGTAGTTTCTCTGCTACATTTTGATAGAAGTCCTGGGCACATTCAGATTGCTCCTCAATACTTAAGTCCTGTAACAGAAAACCGATTAAGTGTGCCTGTGTGGAAGAAAGGGCAGAAATGCTGATGCTTTGTTTCCGTTTAAGGAAAGCGTCCAGCTGCAGTAACAGTCTGAGAATGCAAATACCTTGTCAGAGGTGTTTACCTTGGCTAAATTATATTCAAAATATGAGAAACCAAGACATAGCAGCTCCTTAACATGTGAAAAACTTGCATTTATGTGCCAAACAGATGTATATTAGCAATGGAATTGGACAGGCACAATGCCATTCTCCCCAGACACAGCCCTGAGTAACGCTGACAAAACAGACTGTTAAGCAGAATGCTTGCTCCCAGTTTTGTCTCTACAACTTCTGAAAAGATTATATACAGCACATAAGTCAGATTTGAAAGAATCTCTCTATGTAAATGCTTCTAATGATAAAGTCACTACAAAATCTATTCCCAACGTTATCTGCAAAACAACATTGTCCTTTGGGCATCAACTAACTGAGCCACTGATAATCATAAAGGAGGTTTGAAGGGTTAAAATTAACTTTACTGATCAAATCACTTTTCACCATTAAATGGCAGCATAAAACCATATGTAAAAAAATAAAATAAAAAAAAAAACCAAAAAAAAACTGGAGAGAGAACTTAGTTTCTGAATTCTCTAAGGCCAAAAACAAGACAGTTACCCTGACCCAGAAGTCTCAGCTCTGATGGCAGTGATGCATTTTAGGACAGGTTTACGTGTGGTAGCAAACTGTATGTTTTGAGAAAGACTTCTTTTTGACTAGAACAAGCTGTCGGGAACTGGGAAATGAGAGTACCTTCAGTTTTTATAACCAATAATAACAACATGCTATTTTCACAAACTCTATGCTCACAGTGAATCAGTTCTAAAAGAAAAAAAAACCTCAAGATGTTTTCAAAGTGGAAGGCATGTAAGATTCCATCAGAACTCCTGTTAATTTCCAGTCCAATTGGAGGATAGAAATTGAGTAACTACATACTGAAAAGGAAAAGGGCGGGGGGGAAGGTGTGCTGAATACCGACTCATTTCAACCGTAGGTGGCACTACAGACACATTAATTTTTCAAGACCATTACATTTTTTATATGAAGATGTAACCCTTATTCCATATTATAAAAAAAAAAAAAAGCACAGTCAAGTTCCCCTTCCCCAAAGGAGACACGTGGTTTGAAACTGTATTATCTTTATAACTTTTTACACTTAAGATAGCTAAAAACTCATTATATATTATAATTTCCACATGTCATATTTATCTAGGCAAACTGTTTGATCAACAGATATTTTATCTTCCAGAACTAACGTATTCAGGATGCAAAGGAAAGTTTTCTCAAGACACCCAAGATACAGCAGTTTGAGGGTTTCCTTAGTCATACACCAGACCAAAAAGGAAGGCATTCAGAATTGAAGACTGCCACTAGATCTTCATTTGAGTAAGCTTCTCAGCTGAAGATTCCTGTATACAGTATATAAAAACCAAACTGCTGGAAGAATTGCAGCCTTTTCCCCATTTCTGTCTCTCTTCCCCATTTTATTTATGTACAAGACATGCAAAACTTACCCTTTTATGATTCATTGCGTCCAAAAATAGTTTACATTGCTTATAGATATCTTGTCCAGGTTTATGATATGTCTTGAGAAATTCTATGAATTCCTTGGATACTCGATCTGTCTCGACGCTAGCCTGCCTGTTTATAGAAGGGCTGGGAGCTTTGGCTTCTTGGATCTCTGCTGGGAAAATTTGAGTACATCAGATCAGCTTTTTTACACTGATGGATAAATTCAGGAAGCATTTAACATATATTAAAATTTCAGGTTGGTTTTTGATTTTTTTTTCCCCAACTGTGCAGATGAATAAGCATTTATTTTTCTCAAGGTTTAGCAGTGAAATGCTGGATATTATTAAACAGAACTCCAGGAAAACAAGTATTCCACTGAAGTGAAACATTTATAGCCACGTCCCCATTTACACTACTGGCCTTTTTATACTGGCAAACTACTGTAACATGGGTTTGTTCTCCAGTTTCTTAAATTTTCATTCCCAGGGAAGGGATCTCCACATAAGGTCAGGGCTTCCAGATGGGATTCTGCAGCAGTTTAAGATAAAGGAGCAGTCCCTTTTCCATCCTCCCTCACCTTTACGTTCCTGCTCCTTTGTTTGCACCAACACAAATATTTATTCAACTGGCTCATGAACTAGCTCAGGGAGCAGTCGTTTGGGGCAGCGCTGGTCAGAAATCAGTGTTTCTTAGAGGGTTATTTGTCAGCTTGATCAGCTCCCCAGGCTGCCTTCCTACCAGGTCGCAGGAGCATCAGCAGCACAAGACACAGAACGGGAGCATGAGGTCGGTGCAAACGCCGCAGAATCACACCCGCAGTGTAAATGAGAACTTGGCCATTTGTGTTTCAGCAAGAGCAGAAGCACTGTGTCTGTTCAAGGAAGAATTTGCTTGGCACTCAAGGAGGTGGGAACACAGACTGCACACAGCACTGGATGCAAGTTTATCTAGCTGCAACCACGGGGTTTTTCCACACAAACACATCTGATTTTCCAAGGTGTACATTGCAAGTTAATTGTACTGATCCAACACCTTCGCTGCCCAAGTTTAGTTCACCCACCTTTCAACTTGCCAGCCAACACTGTTCAAAATGAAGGATTGAATAGAGATGGTGTAAATGAACATGATGAAAAGCAAGCAGCAGAGAGACAGAAAACATGAAAATATTCATGATCAACATGATACAAACATATCTTGCAATCTGAAATTACTAACATGCACAACAACAACAACAAAATCCTTATTTCAATAAGCATACATGCAGAACTCCAAAATAAAAGGAAATAAATGGGATTAGTATATTTAAGTTGGTACGTTTAATTTGGATTTGAGGTAGCTTATGGGGGGAGGGGGTGGTGTTTGTCATTTCTTGCTTTTAAAGAGATCCAGCACTACTATAGTAAATTCAAAGCTGTATAATCCAGCGACTAACAAACACTGATCATTTGACCAAAGCACAAGACTCACTAGAGCCCCTACACTTCAGCGTAACCTTCTCTGGATAATTCGGTCAGGTAGCATTAGAACATTTATGGTATTTAAGTGATAAGAATGGAAAAGGTTTTACAAATATTTAAAATTCCAACTGTTGCAATCAAGAGAGAAAGTGCAAATCAATCTCCTCTCTAGTTACACAAGAACACTTTTTCCAGAGGGGATTTCCTCCAGTCCTCTTTACACCCAAGGCTGAAAGCAGAATGCCTGTACAGTATTCATGCTGAACGGCAACCGTTACCGTATGTTGACCTAAACTTGTCACATTTCATGTTACATAACCAGCAAGAAGAGAGCATGGTTTTGAAATAATAAGCAGAGAAAGCAGGTACACTTTTGAAGGGGTAGAATTACAAGGTTTTTTTTTCCACAATTAATGACTAACTTCACTTCAAAGAACAGCTGAAGATTTATTTACTTATTTCAACACTGAGCTCACTGTATTATAAAAATAACGAACCTCATGCTGCTATTTGACCATAAGGAATAAGAATATGGTTTTTTTCATTCACAAATTTAAAATAGATTTTTTTTTTTAGTTAAGATATTATCAGCTGAGGCAGATTACTGTTAAACTAGGCATTAAAAAACCTGAATGTCAGAATGAACTGTCTTTTTAATGAGTCACACCAAGAACTGCATGTAGTCACTCAGAAATTTTGCAACTTCATTAATCTCTGTGGTGAAATCGTGGTTTAAGGAAGATGAATCCGTACGGTACGCACTGGTCACTAAGGGCTGCAGGAACACATGTACTTTCAGCAACAAAATATTTTCAACTTTTCCATGTACTCTAAAAGAATGAAGTCTAACTAAAAAGAAGCTGACTACAGAAAAGAAATTCCATTTGAAAAAGTTAAAGAGAACCTAGCAGAAGAGATATACCAAAATGAAGAGAAAGAGTATAAGAAGAGGTAAGAAAAGATCACCTTTTCAAAGAATAAACACTCAATATTAAAATCTTTCTCAAGGCATTCTACAAAAATGCGAGTTGTCACGGCAGGACATTAGCACTCCAGTGATTCACTATGGTTGTGCCATGGTCATGGATCTGAGTCCAAGCAAAGAATACTGAAAAAGGGTCTGTCATTAGCTCTACCAAGCACACCCATTCATTATCTTCATATAATTTGCAAAATAAAGAATGGTACATCTTCCAATTTCCTTAGTCAGCAGAACACATCAGAATTGCTAATAAATAATATAGGACAAGGTCCCAAAGTTGTTTGCATCAAGCGTTTTGGCATCCTTTTGGTTTAAATGAAACCAGTATGTCTTCTCTTGATATGAAATTGTCTTCTTGATTAATACAACAAACAGCTTGAGATGTTTTGAGAATGCAAAAGTTCTTGAAGTGTGACCTATTAAACTGAAGTACTTTCAACTTATTATCCAATTTATAATGGCAACCTGGAATTATTTTTTGATAAAAATACGAAGCAGCAGAAGGTCTAGCTACTTCTTACAAAATCCTGATTTTTTTGAAACTGCATAATCCTTCAGGTGTCACACTACGGTAGAGCTCAAAGCAGCTTCCACTTTATTCCTATTTTCTCCATACCACAAAGCAAGGAATTGGTTTAGAGATTCAAGTTCACTTTGAGATGCTGGATTTGGTTTTTTTTTTGTCATCTTCATATTCAACAGCACGACTTACAACTGGCACAACCCTAGTTTGTATTTTGCAAAGCCCAACTAAGAAGTAAGCTTACTAAAATCAAGCAGCCAGCTTGCCTAAGCTGTACTGCATTACCTTCAGTAGGGGAAGCCAGTTCCCAGGAGGGAGTAAAAATCTCCTTCAAATCCCTGAGAATGTTATCAGCATTTCGCTCCCTCCCAAGCTGTCCTTGCTTAACGATTTTCTCTTGAGCCACTGAAATAAATGCAAAAGCAAGCAAGACACCAAGAGCAGGAGCATGTCAGGAGAGATGGTGAAGGGGATAAAAAAAGAAAATATGGAAAGTGAGAAGAATGAACATAAAAAAAGTTTTTAATACATAGCTGAATGCCAGCTGCTGCCCAGGCACCAAGACAAATTCCAACATGAAATCCAGACTTTAGAATTTCTTATTAAGGAAATTCATCGTCTATAAGGCTAAGATACATTAACGTTGCTTTTTCTTCTGGAATGCCTCCTCCACAGTCTAGCATTTTCCGGTTTTTGCCCATGTAAGCTATTGGTATGCAAAGGCATCAGTGCCATTAATCATTCCGACTTGTAACACATGCTGTAGAATGACAACCCACAAACACATAAACACTACAAGCTTCCTTTCACATTTATTTTCATTTAAAGGCACCCTGCTTACACATTCCATTTTTTCTGTTAAAGCTCTTGAAGCGATCAATTATGGCAGCATCATCTGATATTTTATATCAGCATTTCTACCACACTTAGACACCCCGGTTTGTTCGACGTGACTGACAGCCAGTACCTTTTCTCCTGCTTTCTTCAGGAAGAGTTCCCCTTCAAGGGGCTGAGAACAACGGGATGAGGTTCAACAAGGCTGAGTGCCAGGTCCTGCACTTGGGTCACAACAACCCCCTGCAACGCTACAGGCTTGGGGAAGAGTGGCTGGAAACCTGCCCTGCGGAAAAGGACCTGGGGGTGCTGGTCAACAGCCAGCTGAACACGAGCTGGCGTGTGCCCAGGTGGCCAAGAAGACCAGCAGCATCCTGGCTGGTATCGGAAATCGTGTGAAATCTGTGTTTTCAGTAAGACTTTACATATCACTCTCCAGAAGCATCATTGTGTCAACTTTTTAAAGTCAAGTCACAGAGCATTACTCTGCCTTTTAGTACATCTACCAAAAATACTTCTTAATTTAACATGTTGTACTGAGCCATTAAAAGCAAAGGAGAAAATTACCCTTCTTAGCTCCTGTTCTGGAAGAAGCAGTGAAGAACTTCTTCACAGTAGTGACCTTTCGCGTTTTCTCATTGGTTTTCTTTTCTTCAAATTTTGAAAAGGTCAGCGACTGTGCCCCTTGGGTACTCTGACTGCTGGCATACGCTTCTTCCTCCTCACGCTGAAGCCTGGAATCAGAAAAATATAGGTCTCATTTAAGTGCTTAAAACCAGCACAAATAAACTAATTTCCTGTGCAATAAATTAATTACTCATTTGACATGCTAATTCTCCTCTCTACCCATCTTCATTTCTTGCTTCCCACCACATCTCCCTTCACTGCCCTCTTTCCATGCTGTAACGGTGAAAGTGAAGGAAAGCTTACAATGGCCAGGGAGGATTAAATAGTAAGGTCAAAAGGGAGGAAACTAAAGTATAATCATGGTCACCTTCCGCTCATGTCACAGCCCTGAACTCTACAAAGGTAGAGGTGAGGGGAAAGACTGCGGGAGCATTTCACCTTCCCCCCTGCCTCCTGAGGTTTACCACCTATCACCACAGGCAGTCCTTTACCACCCTGGAGATAAAAACCAGGGCACGCAGCTGAGCAAGTGAAATACCCTGTCACAATCTCAGAAATATTCTGGGAGACATTACTGTTGTCATAATTTGTTTTCAAAGTCTTGGTAATAGATACGCTTGATTGAACGAATGAGCAAATCAGTTCACTGCAACACTGATGGGTGCTTTGCCCCAAGCCTATCTTTTAATCTGCATATACAAAGTAGGGCAGGGCAAACGCACCAATCCTTCAATGGTTAGTTTTACCCCAATGCAGGAGGGCTAAAATAGGTTAAATTATATTGCCCTTCAAGATGCTAAAAGGTTGAGCAATTTTCTTTAAACATCCATCCAGCTCAAGACGGACTATAAATGGTCTTGCCTTTGTAATCTCTTAAAGCGGGAATTGTCTTGAATTGTGCTGGCAAGCCTGTCTGTTCACTACAGCAAACAATCACAGCTTATCTGTTCCTCAGCATCTCCCTCCTGAACAGTTACTTATTAAGGAATTCCTTAAATGCTGCATTTTATTGCACATAGATGTTGTAAGACTGACAGCATCACTATCTGCTCTAATAATACTGAAGTTTTTATTAAATGTTTAAGCCTGATTTATGGCAAAGGACAAAACGACATGTAGCTTCCACAGACGTTACCTTCTTCGTGTAGGCTGATGTGAACACTGTACTTAATGCCTTTTTTAATTTCTTCATTTTTTTTCCCCCCCCAATGACCTTGGTTAATGTATCACTAGGTAACTCAAGTTCCCCAAAGTGATGCTCCTCCATCTCAAGAATTCACACAACCATGAAAGAATTCATTCTGAGTGGATGTCAGGTAACTCACACCTGGCAGTGACACAAAGGACAGCTGTACTACAACAGTGGATGCTTTGCAGTTTCTCAAGCAGGGGATAATGCTTTTGCTTCCTACCCAAATCCAACAGAAAAGAGTCCTACCTGCTCTTGTTTTCTCACTCAAGTATAGATTTCCTCCAACCCTCATTTTCAGGGTCAAGCATTTATCACACCGGGAAAACGAGACTGTTTTGCAGAAAATATGTGCTTAGAAAAATTGCCTGAATTATTAAAGCTTTGATGCTTTTGGGCTTAACCCTGCCATTTAAAAGAATGACTACAGACCCATTTTTTTTAACCAGTAGCTGAAACGTAAAACCATTGTGCTGGCTACATTCAAGACCATAACCGCAGTCTCCAGAGGCAGAGGTATTTTAATCAAAATTGTCACTTTCACCCTTCCAACTGCTAGTTAGAATTACAGATTTCAGTATGTAAATTGGGTCAAAGCATTTGTTGAGAGGTTGGGGGGGTGTTTACATTTGTTACTTCACAGACTTTCCTTTGAAACCTCTTAAATTAGAAGGTTCATAAATATTCATCTTTGCATCAAAG